CATTTGAATTCCTTCCTACTTTTCAGTACAAGTTCTCTGCCTAAGTGTTTCAGAAGTCTGTTTGAAATTTTACATTTTTATAATTAAATTGAATTTCAAACGGTTACTCGCCTCTGTAACATTTTCTTACCAGTCTTCCTACAACTGAAAAAGAAATGTAGCTTTAGATAGCAAGGTAGTGCTTAAGTATTCCTATAATTTATGAACAAATAATTCACATGGAATGTTGGTAAGTGGAAAGCTATGGGTAGGTATGATGCAAGTAGATTATGTGGTGTTGACAGAATGAGCTACAATCAACAAGAAGCTAAATGTGTTTCAGAGGTAATTACCAATTTGAAAACTATTTTATATGTAAAAGTTGAGTAAATAGTATATTATAATTAGTCAGAGTACTATGATTGTTGTAAATAACAAAACATGTTATCAGCAGTGTGTATAAACAAGTTATAAGTAGTTGGTATAAACAACAGTAATGTGTATAAACACATTATCAGTAGCTTATCTAAACAGTAGGAAAAATGGCTTAATGAAAAATGTACAGAGATGGGAAAAAAAGGAATAGGAATATCAAAGACATCAAGTTAAGGAGGCTGCATTGCTAGTGGATGTATAAATGTTAAGAATGGCGATATGATTATGGAACGAGAATAAATATTAAAAAGATGGAAAAAGTATATTTAAAATTTATTCCATTAAGAAAAGCCACTATTAAGAAGATCATGGACAGATTGAAGATTCTTACATTAGAAGTATGAACAGTTATCAACAGAATGAAAAACCAATAAAGCTATAAGACCAGATGAAATTGCAGTACAGCAAATAAAATGTTTGGAAGGATATGGTATAGAAAACGTAACAACTATTATAAGTGAGATTTACGAAAGTGGTGAGATACCTGACGAGCTCAGTAAACTGACCTTTATTACACTCTCCAAAAGACTTGGAGCCTATTAAAGGTGTATGATGAGAGCTACAAGTAGAATAAGACTGGAGATTGCAAAAGTTCAGTATGGTTTTATTGAAGATTGTGGTACAAGAAATGCGATAGGACAATAGGAATGAAGAAGAGTCTTGTGTTTTATTGATTGTTACAACAGTGGAAGTCACGTGACACTGCTGGCGGATTGGGGCTGGTGGCGTGCGCAAGGAGTTTCTCGAATGATCATGAATTTCCTAGTGCATTCGAGACGCCCTCTTCTTTAGTATATAAGCCTGGCAGAGAAGCCAGCGATAGATAGATAATTAAAGAAGCGAACAGTAGTGACAGTAAGTAAAGTGTGTGAATCACTGTGATTTATAGCATGTATTATAAAAGTTGTTAAGTTTAAAGTGACGAGAAACATATTGACTGTAGAATTATTGTGTATTAAAAGTTTGTATCGAGGAAGAATAAACTGGTTTATTCAAGAAAGGACTTGTATCGCTGAAGTTCCTTGTCAAGAATTCTACTGGAAATTAACAAACAAGCAGATAAGCAACAGATTATACCAAAGCTTTTGATAGAGTCCAATGTGTAGAATTAATAAAAATGCTAGAAGAATTGTATGTTAAGGGTAAAGACTTGAGAATTTAAAGAAAACTCTATTGGGACCAAACTGCAGCAGTTGAGATTGAAAATAAATTAAGTGATTTCATCCAAATTAAGAGAGGTGTGAAACAAGACTGTGTCTTTGAACGTGACTTGTTTAACTAGTATAATGAGCAAATCTTAGGGGGATTGAGGATTTGCCAGGGCTGATCATTGGTGACTGAATTTGAATAACAAATGTGTTATGCTAATAATTCAGTTTTAATAGCTGATTTAGATTAGAAGCTGCAAAAAATGTTAAAGTTGTTGATGAAAGTGAGAGTTTAAATATTAACTGTAGGAGAAAAAAATACATGGTAATTACAAGGAAGAAGATAATTCCTGTATGCATTGTCAAAATATATATAAGGCAAACAATAAATTCAACAACCTTTGAAGCTGGATAACATCAGATGGTAAACAGGATCATAAAATGAAATGGAGAATAGAAATGGCAAAAGATGAATTTGTGAAAATGAAAAAGATCCTGACAAATAGTAAAATTTCTTTGGGGATGAAGAGTTTGAATTGTTATACTATACCAATTCTCAGAATTTTGGACAGTATTTCTAAGTATGGAAAAGAGAATGGAAGCAGTTGAGTTATGGTTCCTAAGGCAAATCTTGAAAGTATGTTGGACAAGTCACACCTTAAATGGAGATATTTTGTCAAGAGCAGGTTGCAGGAGGAAACTGCTGACTAACATCACAAAGAGATTTTAGTAGTTTCTTAGAAAAGTTATGAGGAAAGAAGAAATGAAAGTTTGGTCATAACTGGAAAAAAAGAAGGAAGATAGAGGTTGACTTATGTCAAGAGTGTATCTAAATGGATGAATGTATCGACATTGGAAATTCTTTGTACCTCTAGGAGAAGAGATCTATGGAAGGCCATGGTCACCAACATCCTAGTTGGATATGGTACCTATAAATAGTGTATGTATAAGCTGATCTGATTTATTTGCCATTGATGTTTCATGTACCCTTTATCATACTACCTATCTTCTCCTTTATCCTGATCATTCCTTTGCGCATCTTATTTCTCAACAAGTTTTTTCTGTGATAGCTGTTTATAGTGCCCTATTTTATAGAAACCTTGTTTGATAATTGTAAATAACCCGCTTTTTCAATTTTCAATCCATAGCCTATATAAGGATACATTTGAGTGGTGGTCTGTTCAGACCCAAGGTGACCTACAGTGTACACTTTCAGTTTTCTCTTAGTTGAAGTTTGCAGTATTGTGGTTATCTCATTATATATTGGTGGATAATGATTTCAATATAGGAGTATAATAAAACTTCAGCATTTTTTGATACAATGTTTGTATAATGAATGGTTTAATACTTATTTGTATAATGAGGAACGATATACGTTTGTAATTTCTTTATTTGTCAACATATTTCCTCTAGAATACATATATTTTTATGTTATTCACATTGCATGCTAATCTTAATAAAACTAGTAATGCAGTTGGTTTTTGGAATTTCAATTTAGAGTTTACTATAATGGTAATTTTGTGCTGGTGTTTGATTGGACCTCGTGATTCCACAGCATAACTTTTCATAGGTATGCTGATGATGGTTAAAGCATATTATTATTTTGTTGCATACACAACAATATAACTATATGATTTGGGTGTGGTTAGTTACTCTTGTGTTGTTATTGTTCCATTTTTGCTGTTAGAAAAGCATCTTATATGACCCTGCACAGCTTCAATTAGCATGCCTTCAGACTTACCGATATTCAATGGATATGCTTTGGAGGTTCATCCATGCCTTCCTTCTCATTTAGCACTTTTACCTTTGCTTGTTCTGTCTCTGTAGATACAGTTGGCTCCATATAGTCTTTGAAAACACATGAAAAAACAATTTCTAAGATATGATGCTAGCATGCGAAATACGAAAGTTTCTTGCTTCATCTTTATTCTAACAACACACATTCACCATTTCTGTGACCAGCATTGTTTGCTTTTATGTCAAAGCAATCTGCCTTTTCAGGATCAGTGACTCTCCACTCTTCCAGCAAATGTGTCACAACATAAGCTTGAGCCTCTCTAGTGCAAGAAATCAATTGGAACATCTAGGAGTTGATTTAATCCTGCTCCACTTGGCAAATGACCCACTTGTTCTTTCCCAGTAAGATAATCAAGGAACTTGCTATTCCACTGAACTACAATTGGAATTTTTCCTTTAAGGTTTTGACAAATTATTCATTAAAGCAATGTTCATATCGAGGAACAGTTGATGGTTAGCTTCTGTACATTTCGACTAAAGTTGTGTGTTGTGGCAGTAAGGGGACAAATGTTATCTTTCTGTTACTTAACTTGGTTCTATCCTTAGGTGCTGATAAATCATAAGAGCTGATATTTCTTCTTTTCTTCTCTCTAGATTTATAAGATAAAGATTCTCCAATAGCTCCTCCATCCTCATCACTGTTATTGATACTGTATTCACCAACCTCATTGTTACTGCTGTGGGATGATTCCAAACAACTGAAAATTTCATTCATTTGTGCTATTCCTGCTTTGTATGGTGTTTCTTGACCATATTTGCTTCTCTTCTTTTCTTAGCTCTTGAGTTCTTTAGAAAACCTTATCTACCAGGCCCATGCACCCAAAGCATTGTTTTTCCCTCTGAGCAAGAAGAATGTCCTTTTCTTATGGGATTTTTACTTGAGTCAGGCTATTCCTATGAATGATGCCAAAAAAAAGTCATTCACATAATCAACAAACTGATTTATTAGCTTGCTGTGTTTCAGTATTCCATTTTGAAATTTTCTTTAGCTTTGCTCATTTTTTAAAAATGTACTCCAATTAGATAGTGGAATGATGTTTATGATCTGTCTTAAATGTTTTGTGATGGTGGAAAAACATACACTGCACTTGCCTATATGACATTAATGTGCTTCCTGTAAGTACAGTTCCTTCTGAAACAAGCAACAAAAGTGTAGTCTTACTTTTCTTGCAGTAGTCACTTGCAATGATACACCAGCTGTGTCAGCTGAAATTATACAGAAGAATCTGTATAATTGGATTAGTAGGTACTAATTTAACTAAACTATTAAAGTCATGTAGCAATGTTTTATGTCAACTTAACTAGCAAAAGGTAATTGATCACCAATTATCCTGAAGGTTTGTTGTAGTCCATACTAAGTTTTATCAGGAAAGAAAATTGAAGTTCAATCAAGATAATTCAGCACCATGACAGTATAGATTGCCCAACAAAGACTATTAAAAAATACATTGTATTCTGAACTTGAATATGATATTGCCTGTAGTTTAGTTCCTATTTCATTATTATGGAAAAAAAACATGGTTATAATTTTTTCAGTTATGCTTGACCAAGTTAATGAACATTTTATTGATGTACCATTTCACTGTGTGGACATTTATGGTAGTGATACATAAAATATATTGAGTTATGTTCTATTTCTAGCAACACAAGAAGCTGTTTCCTTGAAAGAAAGGTCTTCATATGCAATTTTTGAGTTTGATGTCCCAAAACAGGAGTGGGAAGAGAATTATGATGAAGCACCAGAGAAGACTAAGGTAACTGGGTATTGAAATCTACTAAAGTTTCTTTTTGTCGGAATAAAATTATCAAGTAGTTGTAATGATGTGTTGTTAGGAATCATTTGCCTTGGGTCAAATCTGTCGTGAGATTAGTCACAGCCTCAAGAATTTCACTAAATGTTTTCTGAATTGTTGTCGAAAGATTTAGTAGACCACAACTGTTTTATTCTTTTTATTGCAATATGAATTTTAGAAATACATAGGAGTCTTCTTATGAGTTATATAAGTAATGTATTTTAGCTGGAAAATAAATTTTCTCTTTAACTCTTTCGCGATGGGCTCAGTACAAAATAGATGAGTTCGTAGACATACTTTATGTATTTATACTATAACTTTTAATGAAGTATATTTATCTTCACAAAATTTGGTATATTTTTCTTAAACATTACAAGTCTTTTGTACCCAGAAAATCAATTTTTTTAATGAAAATGATATTTTTTGTATACAAAAGACTTGAAATGTTTACTAAAAGTTTATTTAGATTTCTTTGTGAATATATCAAGTGTGTTTTGTTACTCATCCGAGTGCGAGGTTATTTTTCATGTTATCATTAAAAAAAACTATTCTTTCTCCCAAAATTCTCAAATATCATTTGTGTAATCTCTAAAATCTCCTAAATACATTTAAAATGTTTGTTTTGAGTAAAACTATGTATTTTATTTGTTATTTTCTCAACCCTATCTCAATACAAGGTTAGTCAATTTGACCAACCTCGTCACTGCCAAAAAATAATCAAAACAAATCTAAATTATCGTTTTTTCTGTGTCTTTTTTTCTAGAAAGACCTCAAATTGTAACATGAAACTACATTCATTTATCCTAAGTAGCTTTAAACTTGTAACAGTATACATCTATTTATGCTTAAATTTTATTGTCTTATTGCTTTATGATTGCTCTTTAAACAACTAACTACTACTACTCATGTCATGAAGACTATAAAAATTGTTTGTCTGAGCATTAACGATTTTATGGTGAGTAATTTACATTAAGATTTGTAATGATTGGAGGGGTGGTAAATCAAGTAGAAAAGAGTGGATGTTCTTAGACAATATGCCACATTTTTCACACTAGGGGAAATTCCAATATGATACTTCCCTCATCTCACAAGATAAGCTATTCTATTTCATTTCTGCCCTCTATATGCAAACTTTTTTTGAAGCATGCCACAAGCCTTCCATACCCTGGTATTGGAATCAAATGATTCCAACGTCTTTCTCATGCAAATCATCATTTGTCACCTATCCACTAATGGGATCATAGTACACTCATGTCACACATGTGACTCCTGCTATGTACCTCTTCTAAACTATTACTTCTCATTTTGCAGCGCTTGCACTCTGATGTCTTTCTTTTTTTTCATGTTTGAGATAGTATTTTCTCGAAGTGGTTTAATTTATTTTAAAATATTCAGTTGTTTTTTTTTTACATTATTTCAATTCACTTACCCTTATTCCAATCACATTTCTTCTGTACTTTAAATGCTTTTGTTGATTATATCATCATGAACTCCAAAGTTAATATCACCACTTTGGGTGTCACACAATTGACAGGTGCTATACCACAGGCTTTTAGGTTCCAACGACCTGATGGGAGAGTTGTCTACATTTAGACATTTAGTCGCAGGGAGATTGAACGTTATATGGATCAACCTTTATCTCCAGACATTGCCCCTCTTTCTCCTGAATCTGTGGAACCTGGTCAGGTTGACGAGGAATTTGATTGCCTGTTTCCACCTGCTGATTTTGCCGTGCCTTCCCATACCCTCCCTCAGAATTATGTTTGTCCATCCATTATTTTTTTACTTTATTTCTCAAGTATGTGATGTTTTATCCCTTGCTCTTATATCTTATGACCATCATCCTTTGTTATTGCATGAACAAACTTCCCAACCCTATTTGGTGTTTCACCCCTCCCCTGACATTCAGGTTCGTACTTATCAATCTGCCTCTCAGTTGAAGATGGTGTTAGTATGCCTTGTCCCACATTGGCTTCAGATTAGTTGGCCCTTGCATTTTATAGGGTAGCCTGTCCATTTCTCGACCAACAGCTTTGGGTTCAATTTTGCTCCTTTGGGGGGCAGGCCCAAAATCTCCCGTTACTCTCACCATGCCCAATTTTCCCACCTCCATCTTACCATCAAGAACCTTTTGCAGTACTTTTCCATGATCCAACTCCTGTCTGAGGCTCTTCACAGAAATTCTGAGGGATTTTCTAGGGACACCCTTTCCCTTCTTACCTCCTTGTTTGCTCATTTATCGTCTGAGACTCTGTCTTTACGTACGTGATATATTTGTTGTTGGGACCTTTTAGGTCGTGATACTGTTTGATCTCGAACCCATTTACCTGCTCTTTATTTCTGGGATTTGTGGATGGCTCCATTTTTACGACATTCCATTTTTGATACAGTCCTGGAATCCTTGGAGACTCGGGTGGCATATGCAACACTCTACCATTTTCCATCTAGTTTCCAGTTTAACTCAGTTGGAGCCAAGTGTGGAACATATTTCAGTTTCCCATCCTTCCTCTTCCCATCTCTTATTTGTCCCTCCTTCCTGCAGTGCCATTGCTCCCATTTTTCTCAACGACGCACAATACACTGCCAACAGTTCCAGGGACTACCTGGTGGGTTCAGGCCCAGTGGGAGCTCACCTTGTGGCCTTCATTCATCAGTAGTGCCCTTTCCTCTGGGATGTTTGGGTTTTTCAGGTTTTGTCAGAGGAATTCAAAATTCCATTTTTTGCCCCACCTCCATTGTCTCATTTACTTGTTTCCTTCCCTTCACTTTGGGATCCAGTAACTTGCCAGTATCTATTAGAGATGGTACAGGACCTCCTCATCCAACAGGCTATAGAATATGTTCCACATTGTTCATCGGGGTTTTACTCCCATTTATTTGTTGTTCCCAAAAAGACTGAAGACTGGAGGCCTGTTATCAATCTGTCTTGCCTCAATTACTTTGTTCACCTCCCACATTTCACCATGGAGCCCTACCTAAATCTTCAGTTGGCTTTTTCTTTGGGTCTATGGATGAATAAAATGGACATCTACAATGGCTATCTGCATATTCCCATCTCGAAACGATCTTGTCCTTATCTTTGATTCATCCATCGAGGGAGTGGTATACCAATTTTGTGCCCTACTCTTTGGGCTGGTTTTGGCTCCATAGTTTTCTGTCGGGTAGTACGAGTTTTTGCTTTTCATCGTCATGCCTTGGGGCTGCATTTCCATTTTTACATGGACGAGTGGCTGCTTCTGAACGAGTCTGAACAGGAGTCAGCCTGTCATACTCATCAGCTACTTATTGAAACTACTTGGATAGGCTGGTTGATCAAATTGGAAAAGTCCTGCTTAAGTCTTACCCAATACGTTATACACTTTGGTGTCTTTTTCAACACTTACCTCAGTCTGGCCCAACCTTCTCCTCTCAGACTATGTTCTATGGAAATGTCAGTTTGCCACACCCTGTCTGCTCCATGAGTTTCTGCACTCGAGGTTCTGTTGCTTTTGAGGATGTGGTCTTCTGTGACCCCACTGATCCTCCTTGGCTGTGCACATATGCACTCTCTTCAGTAGAATCTGCATGATCAATGGAACATTTCTTGGGATCCCTTAGATACTCCCATCACTTTTCCTCTTTTCCTTGTAGAAGATCTCCTTTGGTTCAACAAAACTGACATATCTTTCCCACCCTAACAAGATTTACCTGACAGAGTGGTACCTTCATCTTCTCATTTTCCATTGGCTTTGCACTCATGCTGGGGTGTACCTCATATTGATGCTTTTGGGGGCACTGCCAATCACCAGTTACTACTCTTTTGGCCATTGGCTCCTCATTTTCGGCATTTAGCTATAGATGCTTTCAGCCAGTATTGGGCACACAAATTCCTATATATTTATCCCCCTACCTGATTACTTCATTGGGAAGTTCCTTGATCCATGTCACTCTGTGCAGAGTCCTTCTGATTGCTCCCTATTGGCCAGCTCAAACATGGATTCCTTGTTTACTTCACTTACAATTATTCCATCCAGTACCACTTCCATTATTACCCGACTTCCTTCATCAATTCCTGTCACTGGTTTTTTATCCCACGCTTCATAACCTCCATCTTCACATGTGGTTTTTGTCCAGTCATTCGTGAAGAAACCACTTTTTTTACGGAAGTGGATCAGTGAAAATGGACTTCCTTGATGACTTCCTTCATCAACTCCTGTCACTGGTTTTTTATCCCACACTTCATGACCTCCATCTTCACATGTTGTTTTTGTCCAGTCATTCGTGAAGAGACCTGGTTTCTCCCATCGTGTAGCTTCTCTTTTGGCCAGATCCATCCATACTTTCTTTACGGAAGTGGATCAGTGAAAATGGAAGGTCTTTCACACGTGGGCTCAAGCTTGATATTTTTAGGCTGCTTGCCCTTCTGTTGCTGGTTCTCCAAGTTTCTCATATGGCTTTTTGAACAGGGATATTTGGTATCCTCAATTTTAGGTTATCGAGTAGCTTTATCCCATACCTTTTGCCTTTCCCATTACTGCAGGATTTTTTCTCACCTGTCCTTACCATGTTAACCCATTCCTTCTGGATTCGTTGATTTTCTCAATGACCTGCCCTTCCAGATTGGGATATTAATGTGGTCCTCCATTCCCTTTCTTTACCTCCGTTTGAACCTATATCGTGTTCTTTGTTTCACCTTAAGGTGTATTTCCTTTTCAGTCTGACTTGTTTGCCATCGATGTTACACTCACACTTTACCACCATACCTGTTTTCTCCTTTATCCAGATCATTCCTTCCTCCCCAAAACCTTAGTGGCTCATGAGGGTAACTCACCCTTTTTGCCTATTTTCCCTACCCTCTGTTTCTCATCTCTACCCCTGTCCCAATTCGGATAGACTTCTATGTCCTGTGTGTGCCCTTTGTTGTTATACTGTTCTCACAGCTTCCTTCAGTGGTTCCCATCTCTTTATCCCTTGGCAACTCT